AAAAAAAAAAAAAAGAGAAGAAAGCGAAGGATGGGATGAATTACGTAAAACATGCTTATTGCTGTTTGTTTCAAAGTATCCTCTGAACACACATTCACTTCTCTATTCGCCTTTCAAAACGCTAGCAAAAAATTCCAGTCTAAAACTCAGTCCTGAACATATTTCCTTGAAGTCTGAAATTCTTAATCGGCTTCTTAAACCAGGGAACTTAAGGTGATGCTTCTCTCAGTAATGGCAATATCAGCAGCTTCAGCAGCAGAAGTTAAGCTTATTTAGCAGGATTAAATATGTTCAGACCACAAGTGTTTTTGGCTAAAAAGGCATTAAAACAAAAATTTTTCATTCAATAAATCGTTATTTGTTGCATATTTCTATCATAAAGGATTATTTATTTGAAAGATTAGCGTTTGATCTCAGTTTTTTATTCTGTTTTTAGTCTTATTTTATATATATATATATTTTTTTTTTTTTTTTGGACAAACATATTTTAAGAGCATTTCACTTGACACCTTTAAAGTGATGATCGTATGTATTGGTTTACAGAAAAAAAAAAAAAATTTTCTTCTGCCACTTGCGTATAACTTGCCGCAGAAATTTTTTCCCTTAAAAAGTAATGCCGAGTAAATATGGAGGAAAAAAAAATAGAATTTTTCGCAAGAAAAAAAAAATGATAGGTTGCTGTTACTGCTGATGCTGTTGAATTTTTATGTTCAATTGTTACCGTTAAAACGATATGTAAATCATCTGTTTGTAAACCAAAGTACATATGACGTATATTAATATTCAAACATGTCATCTCTTGGCAGAAGTAAGCATTAGTCTCCTTTGTTGCCAATGTTTTAGTCGGTTTTTCAAGTGACATCGGGATAAATTGAATCACATCAGTGCTTTTTCTTTGTATTTTTTTTTGTTGACCGCCACTAAAGTTTGATCCGTATTGTGAGTAAAAATTTTGTAGCTATACCTTGAGCATAGGCAAAAAATTTCTGATACCTGTAAATTGATTATTCCATTAACTACTTCATCATTTGTCTGATCAACAGTATTACTCAATTTCCACGTACAAAATGTTTTTCATGTGCACAATGCTTCAATCGTCGTTTTTAATTAATTTTTTTCCCTGTTATCTGTTGTATTATCGATGTTACTGACGTTTATGTCGTATTCTAAAATTTTTCTTCGTTTTTTTTTTGTTTCAGTTATAATTAACTGAAAAAAAAACAAAAAAAAAAAAAGTGATGAGAGGAAGGAAGAAAGAGTGGAAAAAATGTGTCTTTAGCGTTGACTGGGAGAAAAGTTCTTTTTG